TTCTTCTTTGCACATATTCTAACTACCAGCCAGATCAGTAAAAGTTAAAGAAGGAATATGTACCTTATGGGGATTTCTTTGCTTTGCTTCTGGGAATAGGCTGGGAGATAACGGGCTGAAAAAGAAATCCTATCCTTGAAAGCATTAAACATTTTTATGTGAGAATCCTGCTGATGTTGAAGGGAGACCAAGTCAGACAAGAAGCCAACAGAAAAGTTTCAAGGTTTACCTGCCACATCTGAAATACTTATGCTTTTGTATCAGATAAAAGGACATTCAAGTCCTCATGCTTGGCTCCAAAAAGGGCAGCATATTAAGCAGGTTTTGAGATCTTAAGAAGGTATTTTGGCCAATGTCAGCCTTTTAAAATCTTCCTCTTGCACATTAAAATTTTTGTATTGAGTTCCTAACAGGTGATATCAATTCATATATAATTTGCTTAGTACTGGTTTGAGCTATGTCCCATTCATCCACTTTATTGATAAAAGAACTGTAGGATCTTAGCATTCTGCCGATTGTATTTTGGGAAATTGATAAAAATATAGGTAGTATCCTTTGTCCAATGTTTCAATTTCTGTAGTTTTAGTTACCCAGGGTCAACTGTGGCCTGAAAATATTAAATGGAAAATTTCAGAAATAAACTGTAAGTTTTAGTATGCATGCCATTCTAAGTAGTGGGAACAGATCTCAACCCCCACCCCATTCTGTCCTGCTCAGAACATGAACCATCATCCCTTTGCCCAGCACATCTGTACTGCATGCACAGCAACCCATTATTGCTTAGCATCCATCTAAGTTATCTGATGACGGCTCCAGTGGCACAGTGCTGTGATCAGGTACTTCTTATTACTTACCAATGGCCCCAAAGCACAAGGGCAGTGACACTGGCCACTCAGACATTCCAAAGAGAAGTGCTCTTTAAACGAAAAGGTGAAAGTTCTCAATTTTAAGGAAAGGGAAAAAATTGTACGCTGAAGTTACTAAGAACCAATCTATCCAAGAAATTATAGAGAAGGAAAAAAGAAATCTGTGCTAGTTTTGCTGTGACACTTCAAACTTCAAAAGTTATACCCTCAGTGTGACACCAAGGTAGGCATTGTATTACCTCCTATCACCACAAAAAGAAGGCTGAGTATAGGACAATAAGATAAATTTAGAGAGCCTGCATTCACATCGCTTCTACTGTAGTGATGGTCTGTCTTACTATTAGCTATTACTGTTGATTTCTTACAGTGCCTGTTTATACATTGAACATTATCATAGGTATGCATGTGTTATGATTTAGATAAACATTCCCCAAACTTCCATGTTTAATAAAATCTTGGTTCCCAGGGTGCTGCTATTGGAAGTATTGTGGACTTCTATGAGCGAGGGGGACCCGGAGGAGGTCCTTAGGTCACTGGGGGATTGCAGGATCCTCAGCCTCTTTCTCTTCTGCTCTTTTGCCTTCCGTCCATGAGGTGAGCAGTTTGTTCCACCCCTACTCCCTGTCACAGCCATCGTGCATGCCCACCAAAGGCCCAAGCAATGAGTCTGCCTCATCTTGGATTGAAACTTCCAAAACTCTAAGCCCTTTCCTCTTTATAAGTTAATTATTTCAGGCATTTCATTATAGTGATAGAAAGCTGACTGACATAGTGTGTGTTGAAAAACATAGTGTATGTAGGGTTTTGCCTGTGGTTGCAGTCATCCATTCATTCTTGGTAAAGTTTACTCTTTTTCACATAGCTTTCCATCACTACAATGATAGAAATATAGTCATGTAGGTTCTAATCTAAGACTAGGCAGACTCATTGCTTTGGGCCTCTCCTGGGCATGCTGGGTATCAGGAAGCATGAGATAAAGTAAACTATTCACAGGACAGTGCTCAGAATTCTTCTATTACATTTCTTCAACTGTTAACAGAAACCCACTATGTTTGTGCATTTTTATATTCTGGTTCTGAAAAAATCTCAGTCTTTGGTTGTATAGAAAGGAAGGCTTATTGGTACCGAGGGGTTGGGGGTGTAGGGTAGGGGGCGGGGGGGAAGCGGGGAGAAAAGACCCAAACATTGTATGCACATATGAATAAAACAACAAAAAAAAGAAAGGTAGGCTTAGGAAACAAAATTAGACACAAGATTGTAATCATCAAAGACACAATTGTTATCAATCATAACCAAGTAACATTTTCTAGTCATAGCACTGCCTAGCCTATATTTTTAACCTTCTAACAACCTTGTGCAGAATAATTATTCCCATTTTACAAATGCAAAAATGAAAAATCTTTACAGAATCTCTTCAAGTACATATCCTACTTCACTAGGAAATGTATTATTAGACTTTTTTTTTTTTTGCTAACAGGAAAAAGTATTCTAGAATTTCCAAAGTCTTATTACAAATAATAAATTTATCAACATTCCAGCATTTAAGTTAATACAACAAAGAGACACATAACCCTTACATATAAGTTTCAGTCAGAATTAAGGATAAGCTGTGTTTACTCATGGACATTCTCCACGTGTAGGAGTAAACACTTGCTCTTCTGACTCAGTCAGAATGGTCCAAGTGCTCTGTAGCGCTGCAGAGATACAGAAACTGTCAGCTCCATGCCATTAAATTCATGTGGGAAGAACTCTAGTTCCCCTAGGGAAGAATCACAGCACAGCCTTGGGAAAAAGGGACAGGAATACATTCACGGAGTTTCTTTTTCCCTGGTAAAAAGGCTAAGGCTGCAAGTGCATGCTGTGAGACTGTACTTCCAGAAAGCCAAATGTGGGCCAAGGGAGGCTGATGAGGTGGAGAGGGAAGAACAGGGAGAGATTAGCTCAGATGTCTTGACCAGCAGAACACAAAATGCAGGGTAGCATTGTTTGTTGAAAGTTTGAGACCTGAAAATGGCAGTGGTAGCTGATTGGATGGATTATGGATTTAGATTATGGGTTTAGAAAAAGTGAGGAGGGAACTGTCTATCATGTTAAAAAGTTTGTCCTCAACCTATAGGTCTAATACAGTAGCCACAGTGGACTATTTAAATTAAAGTTAAATAAAAATAAAACATTCAGTTCTCTGAATATTAGCAAAATTTCAAGGGATTAATAGCCATATGTGGGTAGGGGCTCCTTATAAAAGGAGCACATGAAAAACATTTTCATAACCACAAGTCCTTTTGGACAGCATAATTAGTCTAGATTATGTAGGATATCAGCATTTATTTATTTCATTTTTAACATTTTAAAAATTGTATGTTGCATTTATTTATTACAATATTGAGTCTTTTACTTTACAGAAAACTATGTAGGTTATTTTTTTTTTAAATTGTTGTACTGGGGTATATTGCAACATTTACCAGAGTTCTTACAATATATCATAGTTGAATTCACCAGCTCTATCAGAGGATATCAGCATTTAAAACTCTGGAGTTTAATTGTTACTTAGGAAATATATGTGGCACAATGGTTAAGAACATAGGCTCTGTACTCGAACATCTAAAATTTAATCAGGCATGCTACTAACCCGTTGGTGACTCAGTTTCTTCATCTCCAGAAAAGCGATGCTATGTAATAGTGCAAATTTTGTTGTCAGAATTAAAATATATAAAGGATTTTAGCTCTTAATAATGTCTCCAACAACAAATGTTGGTGAGGATGTGGAGAAAAAGGAATCCTCACACATTGCTGGTGTGAATGTAAATTAGTATAATCCCTATGGAAAACAGTATGGAGGCTCCTCAGAAAACTAAAAACAGAACTGCCATACAACCCAGCAATTCCACTCCTAGAGATGTACCTGAAGGAAGAGTCAGGTTACAACAAAGGCACCTGGACAGCCATGTTTATTGCAGCATTATTCACATTAACTAAGCTATGGAAACAGACAAGATGTCCGAGTACTGACGAATGGATTTTAAGAAACGTGGCATTTATATACAGTGGAATTCTATTCATCCCAAAGAAAAATAAAATTTTGTCATTTGCAAGGAAATGGATGGAAGTGGAGAACACAGCCAGGCTCAGAAGGCCAAAGGCCACATGTTTTCTCTCATATGTGGAATATAGACCTAATACAAATGTAGCAATATTACAGAAAACAGGTCATGAGAGGGGGAGGGTAAAAGAAAGAAGTTCAGGTGAATATGGTTGATATGGTTGATATGTTCTCTATATAAGAATGAATACAGAATTTTTAAACTGGTTATTTAACCATAAGAAAGGGACTAAAGTAGAAAGAAGAAAAATAGAGGAAATGAACCAAACCAGGCTATAATACTTATATACATGGAAGTGCCACAAGGAAATCTTGTAGCACTATGTAGCTCTATGTAGCTATCTTAAACATGCAAAAATGTCATTTCTTTTGCAAAATTGGAGAACAGGAGAGAGGAACAAGTCCTGCCTTGGGTTGGGGGTGTTGATACCAGTGGGAGGAGGTGGGGAAGGGGGCAAGAGGGTGAATATGGTGCAAATAATGTGTACACATGAATGTAGACAGAAAAAAGATACCTGTTGAAACTATTTCTCAAATAGGGGCAGGGGAATAAAGGAGAATGGTGGAGTTGGTGAATTTAAGTATGATATACTTGATAATATTGTAACAACCTTCGTAAATGTCAAAATATACTCCTACCTAGCACAACAATAAAATAATAAAGTAAAATGTATTTCAAAATGAATTATAGACATGGAAAAAATAGTATCAGTTTCTCATTGAAACATACATCTATCACTTAGTACCTAGGGAACAGACATAAACTGATTCATGTCTTTGATCCATTTTCTACGCCTCTTCTCCATGAACCCAGCCTTTGTGGGATGGGTCAAAAACTCTTGGCTCAGTATTGTAGCTCATGACTTAATCCCAATCCTCAGGAGGCTGAAGCAAGAGGATTGTGAGTTTGAGACCATGTGGGCTACATAGAGAGTTCAAGGCCAGCCTGGGCTATGCCATAAGACTGTCTCAAAAGACAAATCAAAAACACTCTCATCATATGTGTGAGATTGGGGTTGGCCTCTCACTCTTACTTGTAGGTTAGAATGTCGGCTGCCTGGAGTACAGGGTATGTGAGCAGGCCCACTGTTCCATCACTCTGCTGCTTGGCACTTTTTGCCTGTGGGAGATAAAAAGAAGAGGAGAAATCTGACTTGAACTTAATTATATGGCTCAATTTAGAAAATTTCAAGGCAAGCAAAGTGTGACCTGAGGCCTCTTGTAATAATATTACATTTTGGTTCCTTTTAGCAACTGTAGCCATCTTTCTACCTGGCTTGTCTCCATAATCCAGGCTGAGGCAGAAATAAGGTGAATCTACTTTTACCACTTTACCTTTATCTTTTTAAAATTAAAAAATTTTTAATGCTGAGGATTGAAACCAGGACCTCACTCTACCACTGAGCCACACCCTCCCCCTTGCCACTTGAAAGGATCCCCCACACCACTATTTGTTATTTATTTCATTAAAAACAAAAACAGTGTTCTAGACTCCAAATCAGGTAAACTGTAGATATTACAGATAAGGTCAGAAATTAACATGAAATCAAATTTCTACAGATTAACATGAATTAACATCCCCTTACTACAATGTCCACAATGAGGGTGAGTTCACAATTGTCACTGGATAAAGATCATGAAAGTGTAACATGCAAATGAACAAATGGCAAAAGTACACAATTTTTAGAAGCTGCTACTGGCATTAGGCTTATAGTCTTTTTTATATTCTCATAATGGACCTTGAAATTACAAGGGAAATAGGAGATGTAGAAAGCACTAATGTTTATTTTGTACTCCAGATGCCTTACATCTGTGTTACTCACCAATCCTCCAAAACCTTAAACTTAACAACCATGCCTACCCTGCACATCACTGGTCCACCCCACTGTCCCAGTCCAAAGAACTAGGTGCTCCTCTCTGATCTCTCCAGGGCATTGGGATCCTACCTTCCAGCACTATCTATTACTGCTGGTTTAACAGACTACAAGCTTCAGTAAAGGGCTATGACTGTCCATTAAAGTATCTCCAGAACCCAGCATGACAGAAGATGTCATTAAGATTGTTAATGAAAGAATGACTACAAGAGGCAGTAACATGTCCTAGGTCAAGGCTGGGAGTTGAATTGTATGCTTTGCCCAGAAATGAGATAAATCATGAGGCTGGGGGCATGACTCAAGTGGTACAGTACTTGCCTAGCAAGTGCTGAGTTCAAATTCCAAGACAGCCAAAAAAAGAAAAGAAAAATCGTGGACCACTGGAAAGGCTTCTTCTGGAAATCAGTACATTCACTCATAATGTGTGATAGATTCTTAAACTCTATTTGCAAGTGGGAACAGTTCCTATTAAATTAGTATTCAGTTCCTATAAAAAGATTTTCAATATTAAACTTACTGGTAGGGTATTATAATAACATAGGAAAATCTTGCCTAAAAACCCAAATATGGTAAAGAACTTTATAAAAATGTTGTTTCTAATTTCTGGCAGTAATGAATCTGCAGCATTACCAATAATGTCTTATTTATTTAGTTTTGGTCTGTTTGGGCTTCTCCACCAAGATACCATATGCTGGATGGCTTATATACAATAGAAATTCATTTCTCACAGTTCTAGAGGCTGGGAGGTCCAAGATTAAGGCAAAATCAGTGTCCAGAAAGCACCCACTTTCTGGCTCATCAGTGGTACTTTGTCTGTCTCTTTGTTATTTGTCTTCACATGGGTCTCTCTGGGAACACTAATCCCATTCATGAGTGTTCCACTCTCAAGGTTTGATCACCTCTCAAAGATCCCACCTTTGGGGGATAGGTTCCAAAATATGAATGGGGGAAGTACAAATATCCAGATCGCAGCATTCAGGCACTGTCACTTCAAAGCCATTTCTTTCTGTAGCATATGTGAAGGCTTCTGAAGACTAACAACTGAGGAACCCCATGGCTACAAAATAAGGTCAAAAGAAGCTTGAAACTGAAATTAGTGTCAACATAGTTGGGGCTTCCTACTCTCGAGTTATCCAACTGCAAAACTAAATGGAAGCAAAGTCTATGAATTATCTAATTTATCATTCTCAGTTGAATTTCTTAGAAAAAGTATAGCCTTAATTTTTCTGTGTATTTGAACTGGTGCCTGTAATAAATTTGTTAAAATGTTAAATGTAATGTGTTGTCTCTTCTCCCCACAATGAAAATATTCTTTCCTGATTGCCAGTTACTTCTGGTGGGGATGGGAGGCAACTTGAGGGCCCAGTAATCCAGAAACTGTGACTGTTTGTTAATTATAACATGGTAGGTTCAAACATCATTATCAAGTCTACCCAACCACAGGAAAAAAACAACGAAAAGGCTTTGTAAGTCAGAAGGAATTTTGGTGAACCCTTTCACTTTCTGTTTAATACCCAAAGTAGAGAGGTAAAAGATTTCCTTCCAGTCAATCATGGGTAGAAGGTGAGGGAAAAAGTAAAGTTGGGATTCTCAGAACCTAATAGAGCAATAAACAGAAAGGGAAAAGAGCCTCCTTCCTGCTTATTAATAAGATTACTGGTGCTTACCTTCACTGGTGTAAATGTTGTAATCGAGGCAGTCTGACCATGCAGGTAAGGATCCAGCTTAATTGTGCATGTTCAGATACCTGCAGAAATAAAACAGAACATTAGCAAAGGTAGTAGGCAATGTTTTCTTGCATATAAGCAAAACTAAACAGATAGCAGGTATTATGTTAAATGGTTAAAAACACTCTAAGTCAAGGTTATTAAAAGAAAACAGTGAAAGGGGCTTAGTTGTGATTCATCAAGCACAGAATCTTAGGTGAAGAAGAAATTATAAAAGCTAATAGACACAAATACTAGTCTAGCATTTAAGACTTCTCCACAATACCCTTAGCCAGGGGTGACCAGAGTCTGTTTCAACATCTTCAGTGAGAGGTTTCATCATGTCCTAGGCATCCATTCCACTCCCAGCTAGCCAGGCTTGTTAAAAAGAGATGCACTCACACACATACACACACACACTCACCCAGTCAACTCACACACTTTATTTCTCACAAACATCTCTCCATACTCACACTTTCTCACTTATATCTCTAACACACAAACTCCTACTCTCTCTCTCTCTCTCTCTCTCTCTCGCAGTACTAGGGTTTGAACTCAGGGCCTCATCCTTGCTAGGCAGGTGCTCTACTTCTTGAGCTACTCAACCAGCCTTCCTTTCTTCCTTCCTTCCTTCCCCTCTCTTCTTTCTTTCTTAAGAAGCAGTCTAATCAACAAGAAATGATAAGCTTTCCTCAATTTATTGCTGTTTGAATCAAGTTTAATCATGTAACCTGGCAAAAATTGGGGTAGTTCTTGGGCCCAGGCCACATTCTAACTGATGACCTAGAATTTAAGTCTTATGCATTTCTGGGCCCTAGGGATTTCCAGGCCTTCATTAACCATGGCTTTTTTTGTATCCATATGATTCCTTAAAAAGCAGAGACAGTTGCCAACTCTATAAAGTGGCCCCAAATGTGCTATTTGAGGGTTTTGCAAAAGGAACTTAAAGGAATGGTGTGGAACCATCCCAGGCCTATTTTACTAGCAAGGAATTGCCATCTGGTGTAAGACAGTTTCTCATTTTTTTCTCCAAAGTTATAGAGAGGGAAGATTTGTTTTTCACATGTTTGACAAGGATTCACTTTTAAAGCTTTGCAAGTCACCAGGACGAATCTGTGATCTTTCTTCCAAGATGTACTTGGGTTTCATCGAGGGCAATGGCTTTGACAGCACTGTCCAAGAAAATTGCTAACTGCTGCTGTAAACAAACAGTTATCAGTCACAAACTGTCAAAGGGATATGAGCGAGAGGATTAGAGTTGTTTCCAATCATCAAGCAAAACATATTCCCACTAGAACTTATACAAGAGCTGGTTTGGGGCATGAAGTATGAGAGAATGCTCTTTCCTCTTCACTGAGTTGGGAGAAAGGAATGAAAACACAAAAAGTAACCATGGCCATGTGGAAGAAGACAAGAGGATTCTTTCTCTTCAGCTGTGGTTTGAATGCTTAGCTTTGGTGATACATAAACACTACCACTATGTCTCTTTGAACTCAAGTATGTTCCTTGGAGTAGCTTTTTGTTTGGACATAAAGAATGAAACTTACTCAATATTCTGCAGAGATATCTTGGTGTTTCCAAATTAGAGAGCATCAAATTAATTCCAAATAGTCTCATATAGAAAGCATAGGCCAAACATCAAAGGCAATTCATTTTTCACAATTCATCTTTAATAATTATATAAGAAAAGTAGCACTTCTGGATTTGTTTCTTCTTCATGTTCATGACAATTGCATGGAAAGGTTCAGATTTCTAATTGAGTAAAAAGCAAAAGTGGTAGGCACCTAAAAATAATGTTTTCATGTGTTGTGTTGCCACAAACAAAATAGCTGTGAGATCTATTTTAGCCACAGAAAAATGAAGGTAGAGAACAATAAACTGGCCTATTAGACACCCACAAACGACTCAACAGTAATAAGCAGAGAAGAGCTAAAGACATCTGACCCTGTAATTTTAACAAGGAAAGATGCATGATTTTCAGTTAAAGCAGTCTTCCCTGTGTTGTTCATTCCTGTAAAACGCATTGTGGCACACGGTAGTGCTCAGTAACTCACTGTGGAAGACACAAATTCTAGCACAAGCTGCAGAAAGAAAATGACCATTAGATTTGGCAACTTACTTGGTGATCCAGGTAAAAGCAATTTTAAGGGAGCGATTGGGATGGAAGCTAAATTACAGAGGGATGAAGAGTGAGATGAGGAGGCAGGATGTGAAGATCAACATACAAGAAACTTAACAGGGTAGTTAAGAGCTCTGTCTTTGGAGTGAGGCTCCCTGGGTCTGAACACTAGTTCTGACACTTACTAGTTGAGTGGCCCTGGGTGACTTAACCTCTCTGTGTCTCAGTTTTACTAGCTATAAAATTAGGCTAACAATAGTACCCATCCAACAGTGCTTAGAACAGTATCTAGCACAGAGCAAGCAGTTGATATTATGGCTACTATTGTAGATACTTTTTAGAAATACTTTTTTGATTTTGAGATAATTATAGATTCACATACAGGTGTAAGAAATAACCTCACTAGTACTGCCACTGTGTAAAGCTCCCGTTCTCCTTATGTCCTTTTCCCCAAATGTCATGATGAAACCCTTTACTATGCAAAATTTAACATACATCAATACAAATATATTTGCATGTTTAAATATCACTTAGCATATTCTAATATTCTTTATGTGTGACTAATTTATTATGGCTATTATTTTTTTTGCTGCCACCACAGCGAAGATCCTTATCTGATTTATTCACTGATACAACATGAGTACTAGCACAATCCCTAGGATATAGTAAGAGATCATTACATATTTGTGAAATAAATTCATGAAAAATGAAAGGGTCATTAGTAGAGAAATGCCTAAATAAAATGTGGTATATATAATTGCATACAATATAATGAGCAAAAGAAATGGGTTAGATTTATGTATATAAACATATCACAAAAAACATACTATGAAAAAAACTGCAAAAAAAGTACTATGATAATATACCACTATATAAAATTTTAAGCCATAAAAACATATATTCTTCTTGGGATTATAAATACAAATACAAGTTTGTGGACAATAAGACCAAAATATGAACTAAACTGATACATTTTGAATCCAACAGTTTGGTTGTCTGTGGTTAGAAGAAAGGAATATGAGGAGGAGAGATAAATGGACTAGGTAAGGGAAAGGATTAAATAGACTCTCAACTTCATCTCTATTTTTAACATAAGGAAGTCAGAAAATATGACAAGATGGTAACAATTCATGTTGGGAACATGAATGCTTGTTATGTTATCTGTGTTTTAAAAAATTTCCAAAGTATTTAATTAAGAAAAAGAGTACAGAGAAGCATGATTCCAAAATACATAGCTGCTAGATATCAATCACACCCAGTCAATTACCTGGTTCAGTAATTCCTGTATGAAATCTCTAAAATACTCTTAGTACCCCTAAGGACTTTGCTATTTTCCATATAAATGTTATCTTCCCAGGAATCAGGTCCTAGACATTTTAGTTAGGACAACTATTCTGACTCACAAGTTCCTATTTATTGCCTCCACTCGGAAACTAGCAATTTCATGCTCAGTTATTTTTATTAGTCTCTTATCATCCCCATAACAAATCCTTTTAACAAGAACCTTGTTTGGGAATCTGATTTTAATTAAAAAAGAAATCTGTATCAATGATGCACTCTCATTCTTTTCAGCTGTCTGCCTCCTATCAGAACTTGTATTTGCCAGTGAATATCTTATCTATTCACATTTGGAGTTCCCTAACCTTTTCTTTGTCCAATACTTCCAAAGCTAACAAAGGCAATTCTATCAGTTTGCTTCTGACTTACAAGTCATGTCCATCTAAATTCTATGGCTTATTATGTGTGTTTGTATGCCTATACCGATAGCATTTCTTTAACCATAGCATTATATCTATCTACCAGCTTTTATTAGGATATACTGGGTAACAAATAGCCCTGACAAAAATGTGGTTGATAAGAATTGTTTCTTTATCATTCACATTATATACTAATACCTATTCATTGGCTTTGACTTTGCTTTATGTATCTTTTCATTCCAGGATTGAAAATGAAGGAATGGCCCCTTTCTGGAGCATTCCATTCTCATGTCAGCGGAAAAAGAGCAAGAGAGCTAGAGCAAATATGGAAGATTCTTTTAAAGATTCTTCTTGGAAGAAATTCAAATGGCCAAAAAACACATGAAAAAATGCTCACCATCTCTGGCCATAAAGGAAATGCAAATCAAAACCACACTATGATTCCATCTCACCCCTGTTAGAATAGCCATCATTAGCAACACCACCACAACAAGTGCTGGCGAGGATGTGGAAAAAAAGGAAACCTAATCCACTGCTGGTGGGAATGCAAGCTGGTGCAACCACTCTGGAAAAAAATTTGGAGACTTCTTAAAAATCTAAACATAGATCTGCCATATGACCCAGCAATCCCACTCCTGGGGATATACCCAAAGGAATGCGACACAGGTTACTCCAGAGGCACCTGCACACCCATGTTTATTGCAGCACTATTCACCATAGCCAAGTTATGGAAACAACCAAAATGCCCCACTACTGATGAATGGATCAAGAAAATGTGGTACCTGTACACAACGGAATTTTACTCAGCCATGAAGAAAAATGAAATCTTATCATTTGCAGGTAAATGGATGGAACTAGGGAACATCATTCTGAGTGAGGTCAGCCAGCCCAGAAGACCAAAAATCGCATGTTCTCCCTCATATGCAGACTTTAGATCTAGGGCAAATGCAGCAATGCTGTTGGACTTGGATCACATGACAAGGGGAGAGCACATACGGGAGATATAGGAATAGGTAGAAAACCCATAACATGAAAGTGTTTGATGTCTCTACTCCAGAGGAACTAATACAGAAACCTTAAAACGACAGGTTTTCACTAGCAGGGGATCAGGAACCAAGGTAAAGATCAGTTAGAGTTGAATCAACATGGTCGTAACACATGGGTACATGAAAGCAATAGTAGGAATCTTTCTGTGTAAGCTATCCTTAACTCAACTAGCAAAAAC